ACACAATATAAAAATAAACCCATTAACAAGTATTGCAAGTGCATGCATTTATACAAAATACCCTTTAACAAAGAAAATTCATACAGCAACAAAACTCTTTCACAAAGATAACCTTTATGAGGCATTAGTCTAGCACAATCTGTATCACTAGACTAAGCAAAAGTGAAAAACTTTATAGCAAAGAAATATGGCCATACACAAAAAAAAGGGAAATGAAAAGTGTAGTATGTAGGCATACCATGCATTCTCCACCTTCTCATTTTAATGTACAAATGTTCAATATTTTTTGTTTACTCTAAGGCTATGTAGTTTTTGCACAAAACATGGATCAGAAAAACCATTAAGCTGACCTTGTTCTAACTGCCCTTGTTCCTCTTTTGTTCTATAGATATAATACCTGCTCCACCCATGGGATACATTGCTAATATATATATTTGGGATATAAGGCAATGACAGCAGTATCCTTCATGGTAGAGCAAATGATATAGAGATTGTGGCCTCCCCTATATTAAATAACAATGACTAGTAAAGTGATTAACACAAATCACCATCAGTAATCCAACATTTCCCATTAAGTAAGGAAGATTATATTTAAACACTACTACACAGGATTTCAAATGAATTAGTTGATGGGAAGACATATTGAGGGAAGAAAATTATTAATCAATTCACAAGCTCAGTAGCAGGTGACCATCCAGTGTTCAGAAAGCAAATACACACACACACTATACTTGTCCATTGAATTAAAAAAAGAATAATTTCATTTTGTATAACACATCATGTTGAGTTTCTTTCTTTGTGTGAATTCAGTTATTTAGTTAATTCAGACTTACAAACTTACTTTGTAATTTATCCTACCATTATAATGCAAGCATACCTAACACTCTTTGAGGAAATTAGGTAACCTAAGAACATAACAAGGGTATAAAATATTTAACATAAGGGTCTTAGCAACTTTTTGCTTCGGTTGGCAAAAAATGTCATAAATACCACTAGTTTTATTATCACATGAAATGTAAAGCATTAATACAATTACTTGCAACATTTACATTTATGAAGAGAATTACAGAAATTACAGAAAAAGGAATGAAATCAAAATTGGCGGCCAAACTGGTAGCTACACTTATAGCATCAATAAGAATTTTACAGGAAATATTCACTCACTAGTTAGCCAGGCCACATTTTTTGTTGAACTTGGGGCATGATGGGGTAAACCATATATGTGACCTAGCTAACTAATGTGATAACAAACATTATAACAACAATTTTTCTATCATATATCTTTTTTACTTGCCAATTACATTATGATGGTTAGATTTTCACTCCATTTCCAATGTTGTTATAATTAGAAAGGGTGTTTTTGTTATATGTTTGTTGTGCATTTAGTAGTGCCAGGCTTAAAAATATTTTATTTGCTGTAACCCTAAGTTTAATTAAAATGTGAGTAGGTAGGTGAGTAAATTTTTTTTTTTAAATCTCTCCATTACTAATAGATACCATAAACATAACCTCAATTGCAGAGTTGATACTGAAGATTCAAACACCAAAAACATTATCACAGAAGTCACAACACATATCCAGCAAATAAAGTCCATTATCTCAATGAAAAATAACTTATTTTTAGAAGATACCTACAGCACTACAACCAAATCAAAATAACATTGTTATACTTCCTCTAAAATTGAACCATGTTACCTACATACCATCCATCATGGTGTGTGGAGATATATGGCTAGAAGGGTTTGATGCAGACGAATGAGACTCATAAGTGTTCCAGTACATATGCTGTTGCTAGAACTAAGTAGATTAATGGAATTTTCTAATCGACTGTCAGACTCATTAATCAATCACTTTCAGCTAATCAGCTATTCTCAGATAAGCCTTGGATAGTTTTACTAATCAAAAATAATAATACTATAAAACACTAATTTAGATTAGTTAATAATTTTTATTAGTCAGGATACTAATTGATTAAGCTGAACATCTTTAAATTAACCCAAAATAATGAAAAATTATAATGATAATATTTTGAATACATGGATAGTTGGAATAATAAAAAACAGAAGTAATCAGAAAATTTTAATTAAATGATTATTTCATGATATTAATCAATTTAGTCATAATTTTGATTTATTACTTTTGTGACATTACCAATTTAACCTTAAGATTAATTAATCAGTTAATTAATGTGACACTAAACAATGCTCATAAATTATTTATTATATCGATAAAATGAGTTGATTGTTTGGCTCTAGTATTAAAAATTTTCTATAGTGGCTTCTAAGTTTTACTTGTAAAACTGCAATACTAATTAGCAATTACCTAGTTTGCTATTGTTAATTCCAAGTGCTATTAATCATACATAGAGAAAATTATCTCTTTTTTTTTATACTCATTATGTCTATAAATATACCTAAACTTCTTTTACCTCTGTTAGAAACAGATAACTATCTCAGTGGCTTAACACTCAAGTTGAGTAACTTATCCCCCACTATACCAAGATCTATTTCTTTACTAATGCTATTGAGTAGGTTTCCCTTTATGTATTAGGTCATCAAGAAATTAGAGTCACTTTTCTTTAGATGAAAAAACCCGAACTTATATATCAAAACAAAACATTTATTAAATGAAGTAGTCTCCATTCTTATTGGTGATGCTTTTCTATCTTACAATCAGGTTGTTAATGCCCTGATTAAAGAAATCACTTGGTTTTGAAGCAAAATACATGTTTATGTCCTCTTTAACACCTTTCACATTTGCATATGTTTTCCCATTAAGATGCTGTTGCAGCAAACAAAAAAGGTAGTAATAATCTGATGGTACCGTATCTGGAGAATATGGTGAGTGGGGAAGAACTTCCCAACCCAACTTCATAATCTTATGTTATTCTGTGAATGGAGTTCAGGTTTTGGGGTCGGAAGTGGTTTTTGTCTAGGACTGAGCCATTGTTTTTGGCATTTAATATTCACATAGAAAATCCATTTTTAATCACTGGTGACAATTCTATCCAAAAATGGTTCATGTGCATTACAAGCCAGAAGAGGCGAAGCAACGTTCACACGTTGGAAACGATGATCATCGTAGAGTTTGTGAGGCACCCAAATACCCTTTTTATAGAGTTTTCCCATATTCCTTAGATGTTTACGTATTATTTCATGAGACATATGCAATTTCAAGGCCATTTCACGAGTGTGTTGCCTTGGGTTAGACTCAATAAGCATCTTTAGTGCATCAATATCAATTCCAATATGTTGGCCCCTGCCATCTCAGTTTTTAAGGCTAAAGTCACCTGAACAAAATTTGCTGATCCATCACTGACACTTACAAACATTCAAAACATTTCCATAAACTTCAATGATATTCTTTGTGGCTACAGAGGCATTGTTTCCCTTCTTGTAATCAAACGGCATTACATGCCAAATGTTGCGTCTCATCATGTGCCAACACTATAAGTGATTAGAGTATACTAAACTTTACACATTATATAGGCTACACTAACATGATGTTTAGGCTGTTCGTTTAACTATTATAAATGATGTACATTTTTTAAATGAAAGTGTTCCAAAATGCTACATTAATTTCTTGACGACCTAATATTAGAATAATTCACATGATCTTGCACTTACTAAATTTAAATGTCATTTGCCAGATATCTTTCCAAATAACCAATTGATCCAAGTCATTCTTAACATCTCCATATAGCTAAAAATACCCAATATTTAAGTCATTTGTAAACTTTACTAATTTACTAATTATGCCTGTGAATATTATTCATGTAAATAAGAAAAAGCAAAGTCTCAAACACTGATCCCTGAGGTACTCCTCTACTAATAAAGATCCAATTTGTTTGGACTAAATTAATAACTTTTCTTTCTTTCATGCAATCATCCTATAGTCCAGTTTACTAGTCTTTCCTCAACCCCATATATTTCTATCCCCTAAATCTTTGAAGGAGTTCTTTATACTTTCTAAGCAGCTTTTCTAGTTTTAACTTTCCAATATCACTCACTAGAAAAATAATCTCCTTGGTATTCAGAAACTAAACTCTCAACATACTTTGTAAGTGTAATGTCCTATACTTTTAAAAACAACTTTATAAGTATACTTAATAAGAGTCCCTCACTGTGTTAGTGTGTAAACCAACCACATGATCATAGGATCTTACAAGCTTCAGGCTCCAATTTTTTTGTACTGAATTCCAATTTAAGATTTCGAAAAAGGCATGCTACATTACAGTTAACAAAACATACATACTCAGTTACTGAGTCAGTAGTGAATTCACACCAATGATCACAATAAGAAGTTTACACCTTTCTTTAGAAACCTAATAAAAAGGAAAAAACACTTACCCAATGAAAGACTGACTCCTAGATTAGAAATTTATTCCACAAATATTAATTACCACTCGAAAATATATGATATTTAACTTTAATTCACAGATTGACAGTGACAGAGATGTCATTACATGACACAGATAAAGAACCATAAAGGGCCATAGGTCATTCAAGGCTGTTCTTGCACACCCACTTTTCAAAAAAAAATAAAAACTTAAACCTATTCTTTAAAAGTTTCTAAAGTGCTGGCCTCCAGTACTGCCGATGGCAATTGACTGACCTTGTCAGAAATATTACACTGTGTAAGTTAAAACTTATAAGTGTATTAAAATTTAAATGGATCCTGTCTTTTTTAAATCTTAAACGTGTGTCCTCTTGGCATATTATCTTTGGTTTCCTTTATTAATTATTTAAAAGGTGATTAACATCTGTAATAAGTGGTCAGTACTGAAGCAAGAAGTTTAATTTATGTTTAAAGTTAAACTTTTAAAACTAAAAGGCTTAATTCTTACTTTTTAGTTTTCTTTTTTCTTAGGAGCTGGGTGTGAAGGGACAGCTTTAAAAAGACCAAATTTCCCTTGTTGTCTGTTTATTATATCATGTATAAATAGTTTATACAAAAAAATAAAATATTCAAAATGCACTATAAATATAATGGTTACTTACTTCTGATAAAACTACTGTGGGCGTTTCACGCACTGCCATATTGACATTAGAAAATACAATGCGTCACCTACTGTCAATTAAGTCTACACTGGCACAGCTGTAAAAATTTACATTAACTTTTTTTTATCAACAAATGTAATAAAAAACAGCTAAACTTCTATATATGATAGCATATATTTTGATGAGTCGAAGAGTGAGTGCAAATTTCCATTCCATGTCGATAAGCTGTATTTCTACATGACAAATGAATCACTGGTGAACTGGGTTGACCAGAAGTCTGAAGATAAGGTAGTCAGGTCGGATGAAGATGAGGAAGAAAGAGCTGAGAGTACTTACTTGGTTGTACAGGATGATTAAGATGAGGAAACGCGATCTAGAGTTGAGATTCAGCTATATTTTTCTTGAAAGTTCCGACAACGACAAAGTCGGTATTACTGGGATTGAACCCGTAATAATACGGTCATTTGGTTGAGTAACCAATGATTGAATGGAATTAGTGTTCCTTGCTTTCTTATCTATTGAGCCATTCTTGTCCAGTATAATTTATGGATTATATTTGTACCTATTACTCGATTATTTAAGCTAAGATGGTCAAGTGGTTGAAATACTATTGACTAAGATAATGTTGTGACTATTACTTTCCAAACTAGCAGGGTGGTTTGTAAGGTACAATGTATATATTACGTTGTATGATTACCACTTGGTCAACTAAAGTGAAGTTGATTGGTTGATTTCCAGATTAATGAGACCAAAACGCCTTTGCAACCATTACTTTCCGGGCTATCAAGCAGAGATTCGCAAAACTAAATATCCATAGCATATCAGTTTATATCTACTCGATTAACAATGTTTGGGACGGCCAGTACAAATAGTTTCAATACCTAATATATTGTTACGTCTCTGGCCGTTTGTTAATTTCCCGTAAAAAATTATTTCCGAAGAACTTCAGCGATACAAGTCCTTTCTTAAATAAAACTAGTTTATTCTTTCTCAATACATCTTTGCAATACACTTAATTTCCACAGTCACTTTCACTTCAACACACACTATAATTCACAACGATTCATGCATTTTACTTACGGTCACTACCGCTCACTTGACTCAATTATCTGTCTCTATATCTCTCTATCTGCAAT